AAAGACGGAGTCCGTAGACGGTTTGTAGCCCCAGGCACTCCATATCAGCCTTGACTGTACCAAGCCATGTTTTCATCTGTCCACCCATGCGACATCGCCAAGATGGAAATGGCGAGGGATTTAGAACTGATTTGACCAGATCGTCATCTGGTCGGTGCAGAACATGACCAAACCACGGAAGGCGACGTTTTTGGATCAGTACTGGAATTTGGTTGATGTCGTAGAGAGTTCATGAAGTTTCATGGGAGTTAGGTATGAGTGATGTCCCCAGCATCGCTCGGCCTTTTGCTTGAGAGTGCAGCTCTAGCCTTTACACAACCAAGTGTGACCTACAAGGTAGTAGGAGTGGAGTAGGGAGTCCACTATCCATTGGCAGCCGGTGACCGGAGTCCGGTTCATACGCCTTTTTGAATGGGGCCAGACATCCAGGACATCCAATAAGCCCTTTGTCCATACGTCTGCCGGTGAGCTCCGGTGAGCTTCATACACCAGTCGTTGGAGGTTTGGAATCAGGGTTTAGCCATCTCCCCTAGACTGTCATCCAATGGACAGTCAACCCGATGAAGAGCGCCGGGCATCCACTTTTGCCCTCTCACTTCGGTGAAAAACACCTCCGCCACGTGAAGGCAGTGAGTAGGACTTCCTCAGGAGAGGCTATGTAAGACGCCCGGTCATATGGGAGCATTTCAAGAGGTGTACGGAGGGGTGGACAACCCGCAGCGCAAGGCACCCACCCCCGACCATCCTGAGGCGGATCATGTAAGCTCTTGGTTCGTAAAGCTACAGTCGGCTTGGGATAGAAAATTTGGCTCCTTTAATTCAGAAACGTTAAGAGATCCTTACCTTCGTAGCACTTCAAGTGGCATTTACTAGTCCATAGCATTTGTGAAACCCTTCTGATTTTATTGTGGTTCTGAAAGATTTGGCTTACAGCACTTGAGTATATCCGTTGTGCTTTATGTTTACAAAGCCAGGCCTCCATATGGTTAGGACGTTCAGTGACGACATATTCTCAATTAATCTGTAGTTGGGGTTTGTGCATTGGTCGTTTCAATATGCAGTGGTGGTCAAAGTCGGATTAAATTGAAATGAAACTGTGCTCAGCCTCAACTGTGGTATGAATCCATCAAATATCAGACTCTCTAAGTCATATTTGGAAGTCCAAGCTTTATTCTTAGGATGAGTGTCAAGCTCAATCTTTGATTAGAACTCAGTTATTTCATGTGCTAGACTTTGAGCCACATACGTTGTATACAGATTCATATTTGTCTGTACTTGTCCTCCTTCTGACTAGTTTCTATGTTGCCTGTCTTAAATGTGATGGTGGAGTCGCTTAACACGTCATACCGGGAGTCGCTGTTGCATCTATGTAAAGTTCGGCGTGTGATTAAAGCATTTGTCACTATTCGGAATGCTATCCGACCGCTAGTTTCAGTAGCTTAAATGTATTTTACTTCTGCGATTTCTGTAATTTTCTCATCAAATGGGCTACGGCTCTTCCTTTTTAGAGGTGTGTGCCTTTGGAAGGTAATGCTAACAGGACTGGACTACATTGACTTAAAATAGGGACTGACGTGGTAGAGCGCGTTAACCACTTCACTTATTTGGGAAGTTGCATCAGCCCCAACGGGTTGATCCCTGACGAAATCTCAGCACGGATACAGAAGGCTAGTTTCGCATATGCCAGTTTCTCTGTTTTCGACGTAGAACTTTGCACAAATGTGCGGAAGTTCAAGTCGCCACATTCCGTGTAGCACGCGAAGCAAGAGAAGAAAGTACAAGAAAAGCATAATAGAAACAGTGAGCAGAGGTGTGAGACAAAGGAGTAATAAAGAAATACAAAACAGTTTCATTGAAGATCATAAGTCACAGGGAGTGGATGCATCTGCGCCACTGAGAACGATTTTGAGCCATGTCACCAATTGTTTCCAACCATTGATTTTTACCGTCCCGAGGACCCCAGCCTGGAAGTCTACACCTTTCTACGTGGCTTAGACCAACTGTTGTGGATTTCATTGACTGATGCCAAGTTTTTGTTTGACCGCCGCTAGCTTTTTTCCAGCCTGACCCTATATCCGCTAACATTGCTCGTCGAGGGAGGCGATGGCTTGGCATACGTAACACATGTCCTAACCATCTCAGTCTTTGTAGCTTCACGACTTCGTCGATTGATTTCCCCTGTTTACCTAGAACTCTACGCCTAACCTCAATGTTGCTCACCTTATTATGCCACTTTACACGGGAAATAGAACTCAGGCACCTATGATCAAAGACAGCTAGTCTTTTCATGTCTTCCACTCTGAGTGGCCAGGTCTCACAACCATAAAGGAGGACGGAGCGGACTGATGAGCAGTACACCCGCCCTTTGGTCGATAGTCGAACATCTCGTCTACGCCAGTTTACCCCGTCTCTGGCGTAGACGTGATATCCGGCTATCGACCAAAGGCGTGTGTACTGTTCAGCAGTCTGCTCCATCCTCCTTTATGGCTGAGACCTGGTCATCGAGAGTGGAAGACATGAAAAGCCTGGCTAGATGTTTTTGATCATAGGTGTCTGCGCTCTATCCCCGGTGTGAAGTGGTATAATGGGGTGAGCAATATTGAGGTAAGGCATCGGTCGAGTGCTACGTAAGGAGGGGAAATCAGTCGACGAGGTCGTGAAGTTACACCGATAGAGAGATATGGTTAGGAGATGTGTTACGCATGCCTAGCCTAACCATCACCTTCCTCGACGGGCACTGTTAGCTGATATAGGATCACGTTAGAAAATAGCCAGTGGTGGTCAAACGAAAACATGACTTCATCAGTCAATGAAATCCACAACAGTTGGTTTAAGCTAGTCATGTAGGGAGGTGTAGATCACTGTCTGATTGGGGTCTTCAGGATAGTAAAAACCAATATAAGCTGGAGACAATTGGTGATATGGCTGGAAATCGTTGCCAATGAGTGGTGCAGATGCATTCACTCTTTATGATTTGTCATATCCAATAAGTCTATTGTTCTGTCATATAATCATTCTTTTTCTCTCACATTTGTTTATTATTTCTCTCTCTCTTTTGAGTTTCTGTTTACTGTTTTCTCTTGGTATGTGTCGTACGTGGAGTGTGGCAACTCGAACTGCTGTTCATCTGTGCAAAGTTCTACGTTGAAACCATTCAGTCAGCTACATTTTGAAGAAGCTTAGGAAGGCGTAACAGACGTCATGATACTACGATTGTGACGAAAGTAATACGTAAATGAAGATTGAAAATACTTAGAATCTTGGAAAGGATATAGAGTAAATATTTCTATATCATAGTGATTTTCATCTATACCTCGATCTCCAGTTTGATTAGACGACCTACATTAATCTAAGTGGCTTAGATCAACAATCAGTAAGTTCATAAGTTGATATCATATATTGGCATGATCTCTCCTAACTCTATGCCAAACCAATCCTACTTTAGTTAACATTACATAACACCTTATTTAATAAAGGCTTACAACCTCATCGGATGGTTTACACTGTCAGTCCTTATTACTTAATATAGTTGCACATAGCGTATGCGATTGGAGAAAGACAAAATCCTCTATATTTCTTATACCTTCAACTTCCAACAGAGCAAGCTGCTGTGCATTACGTACACTGTGGCGGGTAGCTAGATACCACGACAGCAACAAAGGTGGCATGTTGGCAAATCCCAGAAAAAGCTTTTATCAGAGCTGATACAACTTTTTAAACAAGTGAATTGGTCACCTGTTTGACTATTTCATTGTCAGTTTTTAAACTAGGAGTCAGTGCAGATCAATCTTATATTTGATAAGCCTTAACTGCATACTAAAGACTCAGATTTCAGTTTAGTATGGTCAATAGACTGTATTTTTTCAGCATCTTTACTTAAGAAGTCTATATTGCTTGCGTACCGTAAATTCTTAAGGTAGTAATGTTAACTAGAAGCAAATCCACGAGTCTTCCTACTCTAAAATTAACTAACTTTATATGCTCGGTTTTCTTAGTTTATTTGAACTGCTGGCAATTTACCAATAAACTACAAAATTCATTTACAGGTTCTACTGAATGATACGACTGCTACTTTGGTTGTCCGATTCAATAAGCATTTCTATGTTGGTTTTCAGGAGTTCGGTTGATTTTGAGTTAGACCACTAAGTAACATAAGTTAAAGAACCAGAAAGTACTGAAAAGCCGTTTTCTCGTAGTTTGAGATTCTTCCGCAGCACTCACCCGTGAACTTACTAGGGTCGGACCCAGGACTTCTCGGTTATGAGGCAAGCCTGTTGACCATTTAGCTACTAGAAGGGGGTTCAGTGGCTAGTAAATTCAACCTACTACCAATTTACAATACATAGCACCACTGTCAGCCAAGGTAACTGGGGAATGTTAGTTATCAAACCCAACTTGGTAGATATGTAACTGGTCACGAATTCGATCCCTAGTGGTGTCATCGGTGCATACTGCTAAAGAGTCCCAAACTACGACGAAACAAATACCCACTCCTCTCTGGTTTCCAACGTTCCTCTGATTGATACCAGTTTATGATCTAACTTGGAATTTCCAGAGATTTTTTCAGATTGAGGAATAGAGATATTCAAAACTTTACTACGCTTAAAGATTATAAATTATATCAATCCGTTGTGTTGCTGATTGCGTGCAAATGTCAGACTAATACACTGATATTTTAGTCTTTTTAAGAGTAATTTTAAATTATTTAGAATCATTTTCTCTAATGAATACCTCAGTTGTCATATGCATTTTGATTTTTTTTCCCCGCTACTGTCTACTGGTGCTTATGTCCATGTAACAGTGTATAAAAGATATGTTCATCTGGCTTATATACATGTTACCAAATCTAATTTTATATTTAAGAAATTGCAATTCGCTAACATTTTTGTTATCGTAATTGTTTGTGCTTTTCTTATTCTTTCAGACTGAATGGATCTATGAACTCTCTTTCTCGTGGATGCTGCTTATTATTAATGACCTAGTTCGTTTTTCAAAGTTCCATGCCTCGATTGTCTTTGTTCGCAATTTTCCCAGGTGTTTTCCACTCACATTTATCAACACTGTCACTTATATCTGGTCTACCATTAGATGAACAGGCTCCCGATTCACAAGATGTAGGGCTTCATTTTTGGTTGAATCGTTCTTCTGATCTGAATTTTTCGGATTTCGATGGATTTAATGGGACTGACGTGGCTAATGTATCTTATGACTTGAAGGAATTGTCTAACTCTGCTGAAAGTTTCATCTCGTTCAGAGATCAAGACTCATCGGACGCTTCGAGACTATCAAATTACCAACATCATATTGAAATAATATCTAATCAAGCTAAGAACAATGTCATGTCAGATAAGTCAGGAGGAAAAATTATGTTTGAGGTTGTAACTGCTGCGACAGCATCCGAAGAAGCTTTTCTTAACCGTTCATCTGTTTTGTTTGTGGCTGTTTCATTCATCCTCCTTATGGTGATCAGCTTAGCATGGCTTGTGTTTTATTATGTGCAGCGATTCAGATATCTACACAGCAAAGAACGAGTTTCTGTAAGTGGTTTTACAAAGTTGTCATTAAATTTGGTTTTTAACTTCATCAGCATAAGATTCTTAGTTTACAGTGTTTCTGATTCCCACGAACTGCAGAATATCCCTCAAATGCTTATATTGCTTAGTGTTGCCAAAATAACCGTCTGCCGAGAGTTTACTGTCTCTAATTCTGCCTAGTCAGTTATTGTGACTCCGCTTATCTCTAACATGTCAAGAATAGACATTCTGTGTACATTCTCTGTTTAGTGTAGAGAACATAAAATTAGTTTCCTTGTTAAGTCCATGCAATTTAAGAAAAAAGGATGGGATGCTTTGATACGCTAATTACATTTTCTATTTAAGGAGCCTAGTAAACTTGGGTAGAAGAATTTTGTTTGTCATTTGGTGAATCGTATCTCAAATGGAACTGACAAGGTACATGGCTTCTTATGAAGAAGTGTGATGCGTGATAGTTCGTCTTATTCTCTACTCCGTGTTTTTGAGGTTACAGTATGTTTTTGAAAGTATTTCCGTAACTTCACACTCCACTGTGACAACCAGTGAAAAGACAGTAGTGAGAGTTATCGCAAGCTTCCAGACATTGGTGGTGATCTATGTCAAACAGGTGAAATCAAGTTAAACTTAAACTATCGCTAAATATCCCACTGTCCACTACCTGAATCACAAGCTAGAACAGCAGTAGGTTGGTAGAACGTTTGTATAGCTAAACCAAAAATTGACACATTCACTTATTGTTTATTTTTTTATTTTTTGATTATACCTTGATTCCACACTATTTTTGGTATCAGTATGGAATTTTCAGCATGTGATATCGGTAGCCCGAATTTCGCAGGTCGATCATATATATCGGTTGGGCGTCAGCAGGGGGTCGAACCTCGGACCATGTGCATGGTCGGCGAGATTCGTAGCCACTGTGTCACTGACGCACATTTGGGTTACTGTAGACCAGATTTTTCATTAATTATGACTTACCAATCAAGTATAACTGTAAGACAAAATACTTGGCGATAAAACAGCGAAATATGCATCTAAGTACGATAACTGCAACAATTTAAGTGGTCAAAATACACATTCTCAACCTTTAATTTCATATTCCTGTTGATACTACCAAAATATTAAAAAATAAGTGTCCATCGAAGCATACAGGTGTCATGTAAGAGATAAAACCAGGAATTTATTCCCCATCGTATACTGTAAGAAATACACATTTGTGTAGTCTTCATTGTAATGGGATCTTTTTTCACGTGTGCACCATTATTTTAATGTTGAAAATTTTTCATAAACCTTTTTGAAGGAAAGATTTATATTGACTGAAATAACATGTTACTTATTCACAATCATCCTACGTTCAAGTATCCATTTGAGTTCCTCATAGATAACACTTTTTTTTGTCCATTTGTTCTCCTAAAACCTACTTTAATGTATATTTGAGTGCTTGAAAATGATGCTACACTTGAATGTGTTCTAAGTGTTCATGAATGCATTTTGATGAGGAATTTTGTTTACCGTCAGGTGAATCAATACAGTAAGAGTTATTTTCTTTCTGGCTATGAATCAGTTTTGAACTGTGTCAAGTTTATGTAGTACATTGACATAGATATTATATATAGGTGTATGGGATCATCTGGTTTATATGTGAAGCTATTTTTGTTGCGGTTATACTAAAGGGGGCATATTGCGCCAATAAATATGTATCATTTCACTAGGGCTTTGTGTCATGGCATGACTAACTGTATGAATGTATCAATATTTATAATAATAATACAACCATTCAATAAGTGATGTACAGAGGACTTGTTTCGCATATGCCAGTATACCCCGTCTCTGGCGTAGACGTGATATCCGGCTATCGACCAAAGGCGTGTGTACTGTTCAGCAGTCTGCTCCATCCTCCTTTATGGCTGAGACCTGGTCATCGAGAGTGGAAGACATGAAAAGCCTGGCTAGATGTTTTTGATCATAGGTGTCTGCGCTCTATCCCCGGTGTGAAGTGGTATAATGGGGTGAGCAATATTGAGGTAAGGCATCGGTCGAGTGCTACGTAAGGAGGGGAAATCAGTCGACGAGGTCGTGAAGTTACACCGATAGAGAGATATGGTTAGGAGATATGTTACACATGCCTAGCCTAACCATCACCTTCCTCGACGGGCACTGTTAGCTGATATAGGATCACGTTAGAAAATAGCTAGCGGCGGTCAAACCGAAACATGGCACCAGTCAATGAAATCTACAACGGTTAGTCTAAGCCACGTAGGAAGCTGTAGACTTCCGGGTTGGGGTTCTTGGGACTTTAAAAACCAATGGCTGGAGACAATTGGTGATATGGCTTAAAATCGTTCTCAATGGCTGGCGCAGATGCGTCCACTCCCTGTGACTTATGATTTCCAGTGAAACCATATTGTTCTTCGTTATTACTATTCTTTTGTCTCTCATCTCTGTTTACTGTCTCTATTATTCATTTCTTCTACTTTCCTCTCTTACTTTGTGTGCTACATGGAGTGTAGCGACTTAAACTGCCGCACATCGGTGCAAAGTTCTATGTCGAAAACAGACAGATAGATGCATAACAGTGAGTATTTACTAAGGTTCTCCTGTTTACGTGTGTGTGTGTGTGTTGGACTTTTGACTTGACTTTATATACCACTTTATATCAGTTTTCAAAAAAAGTTAAACACATCCATGTTACAGCATGTAGACGTAGATGTACTGATTCTTCGTCTTCTATGAAGTGCTTCGTTTTATTAACTATTTTTTTCTGCTTTCATTTAACTTTTCAGAGAAGGCTTGCTGAATTAGCTAAGAAGGCTGTTGCTCGTATACCTATTAAAACACTACATCCTGGAGATCGAGTAAGCATGTTTTACACTCCGTATATTAATCTTGTTACTAATATCAGTTGAATGTTTTTACTCATTAAAAATTTAACATGTTGAATTATAATGACTAAGCCGAACGTGAATCATATTGCCTAGATGTTCATTTTGGGTGACTGAAAAAAAAATATTCAGTAGCATTTTGTTCAATAAAATAATATTAAATAACGTGTAAACTTTTGTAAAATGTAATTATAGAATATTTTAGAAATAAATCATACCGATATTTAAGACAAATGATTTCAAGCTTATATATATATATATATTAGTACCTTATAGTATAGATGTGTATGTGTACGCAGTGCAATAAATACGCTTCTAAAGTATTGATTATATATGTAGACAGAAATTTCAGAAAATCTCTTGTCAAAATGTCCTCTTCAGTTTGCATGCTTTGTTATAATTCCTCATTTTGAAGAAAATGATTTTGAATTATAATAAATCGGTGACTGACTGTGTTGTATGTAGCCTATAAACACACGTCGTTAGGCTTTTAATTCTCTTACCCTCTTCTACTTTTTTATATGATAAATTTCTTTTTCTGTGTGTTCACTCATTTAAAGGTTAACCTGGTAGTAGTATTAGTATTAGTAGTCAGTGTGTTGTCCAGTTAGCGCGAAAATAAATTTTGGCTTTTTAAAAACAAGTCAGTTTCTTCAAATAAATTTGGATGGCATTATTAAGAGACGAAGTTAATTTTTAAAATGTTATCTGCTGACACAATACATTTGAAACACTGTGATCACATACACTTGTCAAGTTAATTTATATAAAATTGAGAGAATAAAAATAGGTTAGTTATAATAAATCGAGTATTAGGGGAGTTGAAAGCAAACAAGACTATCTAGGGTGCATAATAAGTAGGCTGTGAAACTATTCTGTCGGCAATACTACCAAAGTAAGTTAAGTTTGATAGGAAATTATTTGCACGCCCACGCCCACTCATACACACACAAACCGGACTGATTTTTGTTTATGTGAAAAGCTAACTTTTCAGTAAGATCAATGTTAGGATGACACCTAAGCTTTTATTTAGTTAGAAACATTCATAGTCGTGTGTGTGTGGGGGTGGGGTGAGATTCACGGTAATGATAGTCATTCATAAGTTTACATACTTTTTGTTCAGGAATAATTCGTCGTTGCAGCAATATCACTTGCACTGTGTTCCAAAATAAATAATAGCATTATAATAAATCCACTTTTTTCTAACATCACTAATATGCCTCTCGAATGTCACACAGTGTTTTGAATATTGCAGTGACATCTGATTTATTAACTAATGTTGAGTTGAGTGTAAATTGAGGTGATTCGTTGCAGATTGATGCATTTCAAAGTGCCACATGGACAGACAGATTCAACAAGAAAAACTTGGGAAACGTTATAGAAACTCAGACTGAAGGAAAAGCTATTTGACCTCTGGAATAGCAATACAAGCTGATTTAATTCGTACCACTTAATTTTTAAGTAGACACGTAGGTGTTTGAATTAAAAAAATGAAATCGAATACCGTTTTCCTTCAGAAAAGACAGCTGACATTTAACTAAAAAGCTTACAAATTTTTCAGAATCTGGTGGGTTTTATAATTAGTTTAACATAAGGTGATGGATGCTGTAAGACTGGTCTACACTGACTCGCAGTTTAAAGACGGAGAGTGGAGTGGTTGCGCGTGTTGATCACTTCCTTTATTTGGTAAGTTGCATCAACCTAAATAAACTGATTGCTTACTAAATCTCAGCATTAGCATTTGCCAACTTAATTCGGCTCTGGTGTACACGTGATATCCGGCTATCGAAAAAATGACTTATGTACTACGCAGCAGTTCACTGTCTCCTTGTTTATGACTGTGAGAGATGGCCATTGAAGGTGGAAGGTATAAAATCACACTAGCAGTTTTTGACCACAGATATCTATATCCCGTATTAAGTGGTATAATTAGACGAGTAATATCACGGTCATACTTAGTGTTAAGTAAGGAGGGAAAGTCTCGATCAATAAGACTGGCTACATCGATTGATGTGGCTACGTGTTACGCATGCCGGTCCACTGCCTTCATCAATGGGCAGTGTTAGATGATAAAGGATTAGATTGAAAAAGAGCTAGCAGTGGTCAAATCAGAACTTGGCATCAGTCTATAAAGTCTTTAACTGTTGGTTTGAGCCACATAGGCAGATGTAGACCATCTGGTCGAGTTCCTCAGGATGTGCTAAGAACCAGTGAATTGACGCTATTAATTATATGGCTCAAAGATATAATATTAGTGTAATCAAAATCGTTTTTGTCGAGATAATTCTAGTAAATTACGTAGGTCCTAGCTTATAAGCATTTTCATTGGCAATAGTATTAATACGTTTTGTTCCCTCCACCAATACCTGTAAACATTATGATCTGAACGTTACTTGTAAGCATGATATCTTTTTATTTTGATTTCTCATGCAGGAAATAACTACAGAATATGAACAGTGTGCAATATGTATTGAAGCTTTTAGACCACTGGATAATATTCGTATTCTGCCTTGTCGGTAAGTTGTCAACTTTATCAAAGCTAATTAATCGTAATTCGTTTCTTGAACGGAACACTTTTGGCTTGTCTAGCCTACTACCCCATTCTGGAAATTTTCCGTACTATGAGTTTTCAGTTGTGCAATATTTAATAGGCTCCACGTTTAATTATCTGACTGACTGGTTTCAATGTAGAACTTTGCACGGATGTACAGTAGTTCGCCACACTCCCTCCACGTACTACACAGACCAAGAGAAGACAGTAAACAGAGACTAAAAAGAGTGAGAGAGATAATAAACGAAAGTGTGAGGGAAAAAGGATGATAATACGGCAGAACAATAGACTTATTGGATATGACAAATCATAAAGAGTGAATGCATCTGCACCACTCATTGACAACGATTTCCAGCCATATCACCAATTGTCTCCAGCTTATATTGGTTTTTACTATCCTGAAGACCCCAATCAGACAGTGATCTACACCTCCCTACATGACTAGCTTAAACCAACTGTTGTGGATTTCATTGACTGATGAAGCCATATTTTGGTCCCACCACCACTGGCTCTTATCAGGTGGTCAGAACTCCGTTACGTGGAATATATTTCATCATGGACTAATTATATTTGATAGAACACATATATGGTTTGCGGCGATTTGATCGGTCACAGGTCTGGTCACGAGTTGACATCAGTCAGACAACCATTGGAAAACCTGAGAGTACTGGACGGCTGTTTCGTCTCAGTTTGGGACTCTTCACACATTGGTAGAGTGTTATTTACTGATGGCGTCTCGAGCACAATGTATCGCTCATAATCATATCGGAGTATATATATATATATATATATATATATATATATATATATATATATATATATATATATATATGATACCTATTGTCGTCGTTCACTCCTAGAATTTCTTTATTCACGATAAGAATTTTGAGGCCAAAGACCGTTGATTTCCTAAACTTTGATTTTCGATTGATCTTTCTGACGAGTTGACTTGGATAAGTAGGCACTACAGTCAGGTATGAACCCGTAAAGCCATTAGCAAACTATTTCCCATATAAAGTCGTGTAAAATGTCATCTTAGATAATTGTCAATTTTTTGCCAATCACAGTAGAATAGTTGGGTGATGTATACTGCTCATTCGAATGTTCAGTTGAAAAGAGTTATATTTAGAACCTTGTATTTCCCAATGGGATGAAAAACAGAATGATGTTGTTTTTTTACTGATGTTTCACAATTCCATGCTAATGGATTTTTTATAATATTAATGCACCTGACTTTTAAAATCTCAGATTCTCTTTGGTAACTTGATCGTAGTTCTTCTGTGTGATGGAATATTGCGTAGTCAAATAAACAAAGTGTGCGTCGGTGGCACAGCAATTAGGACGCTCGCTGATCATGCATATTGTCCGGGGTTCGATTCCCGGCTGGCGCACTCCTTTACTTCGCTAAGCCAGTAGTGAGACTGAAAAACAGGAAAGGTTGGGCATGAGGCTAGCAACCCCATCCCGTAAAAATTCACACTGCTACAGAAACTTCAAGCCTCTAGCTTGGAGCCCTATGTTCCACTGGGAACGTGAAGGAAAAAAATAAACAAAGTAGTAAACTAAAAAAACATTCATATTTTTGAGGAAATTTTGTCTGTTTGGAAACAATTTTGTTTTATCCTATGCGCTATGCCCTGATTTATCTCCTTTTTAATTAATCATTGGTAGTGTTTTGTTTTTAAATGATATTTTCTTCTTTCCTTTTCTTACTGACCACGTATTACAGGCATTATTTTCACAAAACATGTATCGATCCTTGGCTGCTAGAGCAACGTAGTTGTCCAATGTGTAAATTGGATATATTACAAGCGTATGGTTTTCGTGCAGAGTTGTTTTGCAGTTATGCCAATTTAGACAACCTAAATAATAGAGCAACATCTGCTAGCTCTACAGTTGTAGTATCTTCAGTTTCTACAACTTCACCTGGTCTAATGGCAGGCAGTTTATCCAACACAGGAGTGGATGATGAAGCTTCCGCAATGGAGAGTGTATCTTTGGTAACTAGTCAATCACAAGTGATGGGTGATATTTTAACAGCTACATGTGGACCTCCTTTGACGTATGTTGTACTGGCTGGTACAAACGGTACTGCTAATGCTGCTGACTCAATAATAATTCATGCTCAGTCATGTTCTAAAACCAATGAACAAATGAACCTTACAAATTCCATTTCATCTCATCTCATTCAGAGTAATAATATGAATCTACCTAGTCATAGTGTAAAGAATAGTATCGCCATTCCATTATTGTCAAACTTATCATTTCCCCCCAACCAGTTGACGGATCCATCTATGTGGAGTAAAAATCTCTTACCAGTGTGTGTAGTTACCTCTGTTACTCCATCTGAATCATATCAAGGAAGGGCGCTTATGGTTTGTGAATCTCTTCTTGGAAGTCTGTTAAGTCAAACGTGTTCTGCAGTGACTGCAACCATTGGTTTACCAAATGCCAACCCTACTGAACATTCATTTACACTATCCATGAATGCTAAGGAGGCGACAACTTCAACTACTCAGTCTCTAATGGGTCCATTATGTTCAACGACACTTGATTCAGAGGTATATTTCTTATATTTTATAATATTAATTTATCATTTCAGAAAACATCATTATTTCTTCTTCTTATTATTATGAAAAGTTTAAAAAAAGTTAGGTTTCCAGGTAGTTAGCATAGGACTACACTTGTTAATTCCTATTTGTCCCAAAGAGTTAGTTAAGTACGAAGTTTGTGTACAGTTAGTTAGCTGTGATAGATACACAGCGTCGGTGGCACAGTGGTTAGGACTCTTGCCGAGCATGCACATGGTCCGGGATTCGATCCCCTTCCGACGCACATCTGATATCTATGGTCGGCCTGCAAAATTTGGGCTACCGATATCACATGCTGAAAATTCCGTAGTTGTACCGAAAAATACAATGTGGGATCAAGCTGTAATCAAAAATAAAAAAAAGTTAGTTCACTTGAGAGCTAATAATTTTAAGGTTCATTTATGTACAATGGCCAATTAATTCTTAAACCAGGTGACAACAATAATTACAGGCGTTATTCACCGACGTTGTTGCTGACATAATCATGGTAACATCTTTTGAGATTAAAGCAAGTCAATCTCCATAATGAATGAATGTAATATCATATTAAATATAATATAATCTGCAAAATATCACCATGGACTTTTATAAACTGAGATCGTGATCCGCCTGATGAGAAAAGATCTTTATTGTTTGCATCAGGCAGCATTTTATGCTATGCAAGTCATTCGTAGTGTCGAGCATAGCGATGTCGTGTAACCTTTACAATCAGATATGCAAACAAATGTATGGAATACTTTCACAATTGAATTGTATGTAACTATCATTCTCACAATGAACTGAGAGTGTTGTGGATAATAGATAGTATCAGTCTATTCAAGCAGCTAGTTAGTGTAGACATTTTTTCACTTCTACTTACTACGTTACACTCCCAAAGAAAGTCGTTCCGTAACATACGACATGGTTGGTTTGATGCTCCGGCATCAATCTGGTTAGTAAGGTATAGACATTAATATATATATATATATATATATAGTCTCTAGCCTCCTCTGTCACTCACAGTATATCTCGTATAACTGTTGGAATTGTTGCTTAACCACAGGTAGCATTCAATTTGACTTCTTTTTTCCAGTTCCATTATGGCTAAAATTTATTTTGATAAAGTCGCACAGCGTTATACAGTAATATTTACTGATGATGGTTTTTAGCACAATTTATTGCTCATAATCGTATCAAGGTACTCATACAACTTTTTTGCTTCGTTTATATACATGAATAAAAATTGATTCTGTCTAATATGAATAAAATCAATAAAAGTTCAGTAGACTTGAGTGCAACAGAAAAGAAGATAAAATGCATTCGGAAATAATATTAGTGTTATCAATAAAACACAATAGGATGACAAATAAGACTAGTGTCGTTAGTCGATAAGGTGGGAGTTAGGATCTTTTTTGTAGTAAAATAAATAACTTGATAGAATGTTATACTGTGGATTGAAATACACTCTAACATTATTCATTATCCTCTGATTTGATTTGTGATAATATCTTCCATATCCCCAGTACTTGCGTTGAGTCACTTCTGTTACATGTGTTGGGTGTGTAGACTTGATGAACCAGGATTCAGTAATTAACCTCTCTCTCCACCTACCGATATTACTTTTCAGAATTTTGACTCTGTCCCACCCCGTTGTGTGGTTGTGAGTTAATGCATGCACTGCGGTTGCTAAGTTCTTTTCTAAATTACTTTGTGGGGTCAGTCATTCTAACCTCAGCTAAATTCTTATGTTCTGATAATCTGACCACTCTGGATCATTCAGCATAACTCGTTGCGTAATTGTAATATAACACATACAAGCCCAGTAAAATAGAAAATCAGATATGAACACGTTAACTATTATAAAATCAATAAAGATATGTAACAAAACTTTGGTGACTTATTAGAAAATTAGTTGTGGATGAATTTACGATACTGAAGTCAACTTTGAACATTGTATCACCTCCAACCAATTAGTTCACACAATCTTACACGGCCCAGATCAACAGCAAGGATGTTGTTGAGTTGATGTCTTGCTTTTTTACTTTTTGGTACTCTTAATGGCCTTCTAATCTAATGTAACACCCTAGTAAACGTTGTATATTCAGCTGGACGATGAATCAAATTTGTAACACATGCTTTAATCAGCTATCATTATTATTGTTCCCTTGGGTTCCTAGTGGAACATAGGGCTTCAACTGCACGTCTCCATTTGCTTCTGTCTTCTGCTGTACTTTTCACATGCATCCATGTTAGTCCATATTGTTTCAGCTCCTCTTCACACTAACTCCTCCATGTCACCTCTGCACTGACGTCCCACTCGCCGCTTCCCTTTCGGGTTCCACTCGAACAATAGCCTAACGCGCGATGTCACCCAGTGGCCTCCTCAGCGAGTGTCCAATCCATTTCCACTTTCTCCTGCATATTTGTTGGTTGGCGATTGGTTCTTGTTTTGTTTCGTTTGTTCCCATAGTTTCTTGTTGGTGATTCTTTCCAGCCATCTGAGCTAATTAGCTGAGTTGATGATAATTCAGAAGTTTGCCAATTGCTCTTCATGTAACTTCCTCATGCTTCATACAATGTTCTCATTAAATACCACTTTTAGCGAGTAATCAGATGGTTCTCTCGGTAAGCAGTCGGATATTCCATGAGCAATTCCATTGCGAACCAGTTCCGACACTTGCACCCAAGCGAAAATATAACCAGCCAAGCAAGCAAAAGTGAGGTTTGAAATCACTACTAAGAGGTCGATAGATAACAGGCTATGGTAAAAAAAAAAGTTATAGCTTCACACTTGTCCGACATTGTATACGAAAAATAAAATACGATATATATATATATATATATATATATATATATGATGTGCGTTTGCACCGATTGTTCAGCCGAAGTTTCCTAAATGTTACGAAATTTGAAAACTTATCACATGCTAAGAGATTAGATGCACCACTTAGGCTTATCATTGCTATTTAGTATAAATGCTACCTGAATCATTTTATCAGTGGAGAAGCAAACCATTTGGGTGGCCTTTACCACCTTATGTCTTTAAATTATGCATAATTATTGTTGTATCACTCTCTTATCACAGCGCATGTGAAAATGAGAAAGTGTTAGTAAATAATAGTGTAACTGACAGAAAAAAAACAGTACACGGAGTGTTGTACTGTATCGATTCATGGAGAAAAATCAAGGAAAAGACAAGACTCTGGTCTATTTGTACTTATCTGAGTCGCTAGATAACTGCTTAATTGGACTAATTTGGAAAGGAGTTAGGAGTAATCAGAACAAAACTTGGCACTAATCCATAAATTCATTGACTGTTGATCTGCGCAACGTAAGGAGGTTTAGATTTTATGATTAGAGACCTCAAAGTACTAAGTATTTATGGTTAGAAACTCTGTTAAGCAGCTTAAGATCATCTCCAATGTCGCAGATGCGTGTTAACTCTTTGTCATCTTCCAGATTCTGTAAGTGTTCGACAGTCTTCATTGAATGGTTCTTTCGGATATCTCCATCCTTTCTCTCTACTTGTACATGTGCTTGTTTTAATTCCTGCAGTTTGAACTAACAGTGAAATTTTCTGTGTTAAAATATTTGGTCACAATAGAAAGAAAGCATGACAAAATGAAATTACGTCTAAAAAGGTATATTATTATGAAGAAGCATGCATAACACCAGTTAGCATGCTAAAACCTAGAGTCTGTGAACTGTATTATAAAAGATTGAGTCGTTGTATTCCATAATAAAGATAGCAATTAGAGACAAGGGACAAAGATTGGTAGAGTCTTATTGGTGTCGTGGAAGTGTCAGATGAACAGTGTTTATTTTAGGAGTGATGTTCTAATTCAAAGGGAAACACTGGCAGGTGCAAGTTCACAAGCCGCATCAAACAAAACGGTTAAAGAATACATTAAGTATACTATTTTATGATTGCTATACTACACTTCACTTGAAATTGGAATAATATGGGGAACATTCATTAGCAAACATGAAGTAAATGGTTGCTGTTCTGAGTTTCATGTGAAAATTTGCAAGTATTGCCAGTAATTAAACGAATGAAACATATATCTCAAGTTAAGATGTTAATTCTCACCTTGATATTTATATTCTCAGTACCCTCCTAGTTCTGTTTTATAGTTAAGTACGACAACTAATTTATATATATGGAACTGTGGCTCATTGGTCTTGGTGACCGATTTTCAACCAGTGAGCCACGGTTTCGAACTCTGCTCCATACACCCAGGTTCGGGTAACGCCTGTCAGTATAACCAGCCCTCACACAATAGGTGTGGTTCATTGCCAGCTGCAAGTGGTTGTTGAGTAACATTTAATTTTCATTTTTCTTCAGTATTTCACTGGTTGTTTTAAAGAGCTGTTTTGTAAAATATTAACATATTACAATCATATGCTTAAAAGTTTTCATAATGTAGTTGTATTGAATAGTTTTTTTCGATCGGTCTCTAAAAGTAGTTCCACTAAGATATTTAGTACTGAAATAATTCATACTTTTCGTGTTTACTCTGTATTCATATAGTATAGCACTGCGGATTGGAGCCTGTCACTAAATTGTCGTGGCTTGAATATTATTCCATTTTCATCCACTGAATAGAGAAAAATTTGACTGTATACTTAAATGAATCAACCAACGTATTCATTTACCGTATATCTTCTAGGTTTAAGCAAAACGGATATCATCATATTCTGAATGTCTAATTAACTGTTTCAAGGTATAATAAGTTGTATACTGGAAATTTTCGATCACCCATGGACATTTCACATTTTATCCCAGGTAGTTTGCACTTGTAAATTTATTAACCTTCTGTACGAATTCTTATCAAAGATTCGATCGAATAGTTTTGCGTCGGTGGCACAGTGGTTAGGACTCTCGCCAACCATGAATATGGTCCGGGGTTCGATCTCCTGCCGACGCGCACCCAGTATCAATGATCGGCCTGCGAAATTTGGGCTACAAATATCACATGCTGAAAATTCCT